CAGTATTTGGAGGTCTCTCCTACTATATCATGAAGAAAAGTTTTGTTTGATTTCTGACAGGACACACGGGCCTTTGTATAGCATGAGGGATTGCATCCAGAATTCCCCATGTGTTTTTGTAATTTGAAATAAAACAAATAAACACAATTTTTGTTCAGTAGACATGAACATCTGGAAGATGACATCAACATGACTTCAGCTTTAATGTCAAAGCGTTAGACTGAAATCCAATATCGTTGAACAATTTGTGGTGGAGGTGCCAGAAACTTGAACATCACAGATTAAAACTGTGATGGAAACAAGGTTTCTGCAGCAGCTGTGGGAAGAAACAACGTTTTAGAGCTTTACTAAATGCCTGATGAACATTACTGTAATTACAGTAGCAGCTTGAGCCTAAACGTGTGATATTAAATATCAAAATGAAGAACCCAGTCTTGTAGGAGGCCTTGGGCCTGGGTTTCTAGCCTTGTCCTGCTCTGCTTTCCCCATTTATCCTTCTGTCCCTCTTCATGGTGCATGAAAACACCTTTACTGATGCTTTTTGGAGGTGGTCAAAACCAGCACAGCCTGGGTGTCCTCATCCTTCCTTCTGCTTATGTGGAGGAGCAGCCCCATCCCATCAGGGAAACAGAAATAACGAGCAGGAGCGCACTGGGACTGGAAATCCTGCCCAGGGAGGATGAGAAAGTCCCACCACCACCAAACTAAGCCTTCACATCTTGGAAGGAAACTCCTGAGAGGCCAAGCCCTGGTTCTGTCGAAAGAAGAGGCAGGGAGGGAGGGAATGAAAGACCAAACTGTTTCCTCCTCCTCCTAACACTCTCAGCTCCCAGGCTTAATTATACAGGATCAACAATCCTAACCATAACTACTGGCAGCCTCTCTATGTGCAAGCATTCAGCCAACCTCAAAAATGCGGCTTTAGCGCTCACACAATTTTCACAGACAAAAATCAGTTTAATTAGAGAGTTCATAATTTATTCTGAAAGCAAAAATTAAGATATCTGTGTAGTCTTAAAACTAGTCAAACCACTATCCTTTTTTATTTAAACATCACTATTAGATTGTCCCAATTTGAGTTTCCTACTCCCAGTTGTAATGCTAATTAAACCTTTTGGGGAAGTTGCGTGCTCATTCTTATGCACTGCTATTAACATTTTTTATTGCAGATAGTTGGGATCCAACGCAGTTCCACCGAATCCAGTCGGAGGGATTTTATTTTGATTTTGTCTGGCTTGTTTTATTCTTAGCAGATGGTGCAAACTCATGTGTTGATAAGTACATGCCACAGGAGAGCATCTGATATGATACAGCCGGCCCCAAACTACAGCGCTGTCTCTGCTGAGGACTTCAGTGCCCGCCAGCACTCAGGACCCCACCGCTTGGCACGGTGTGTTAGCTCAGATGGGCTTTCAAAACTGTACTGCTTCTGGTACCTGAAATAGCTTTGAGAGGCATCTCTACACAGTCGTGTAAGCATCCACAAAGTCAGTGTCTCTCAAACTGTATTTTACCACACTACACATGCAGCTCCAGCGGACTAAAGGCTGCACAGTTTCAATAAATAGAATGTTTTGGGGTTTGTTTTTTTTTTGCATACACAAATCAACAAGTAATTTGCATGAAATACGGTTCAAGAGCCATGTGTGTTACACACATGTGCAGGTAATAACTTCCCCAAGGCATCTTTTCCTCCCTCCTTTGTCAGTGACACTCCCGGTGGCCTCCCTGTCTCTGATTTTGTTTGCAATATGGCCCCTGATAACCTGAAGAGAAGTAGATATAAAGGGCTTTAGAGATATTTATAGCAAAAGCCTGTGCAACTGAAAACATTGCAGTTTTCATGTGGTGGGTACATGCATTGCTTATGAACTGCAGCCGGAAAACTGTTGCCTCCCTCTTTAGCGATTCCAGTCAGCATTCACAAGGCAAGCTAGAGGGAGCCAAGGAAAGAAGCAGACATAAGGACAAAACGCAAACAAACTGAAAATTTACCAATCGCTTATAGTCAGAAACTGGAGGGGGGTGGGTACAGGAAAGATTCATCTCGTTCTGCATTTCAAACTGCTGGAAATGGGCATGCAAAATGGATTAGCATGATCACACCAATATTCTTCCTGTACAGGTTTTGCACAAGCCCCTGAGAACAGGTATAATCTCTCATAATTACTTAATGTAACTACAGGGTGTGCAGTAACAGCCTCGCCTCCAAATGCTAAAATGTTAGAAAAAGCCCATCAATCCTTCTAACTGGGCACTGGGCGCAACTGCCGACAGACCCAGGAATACTGCAAGCGAAGTTCACATTCAGACGCTGATCTGCAAACCCCACGTGAACTAGTTTCATTGCTGTGCTTTATTTGAAGTGAAAATAAGTGAGTTATAACACGAGCAGTGGCTTAACTCTTGTTTTTTTCATAGAGTAAAATCCCCCTTCCTCTTATACCTTCCTACAACCGACCAACCGTCAGATCAGTTTTAAGTCCTGCTGGCCAGCAATGTAATTGAAGACAGACTCGGATTCAACTCCAATTTAGATATCTGCTGCCCACAATTACATGGTTCAAGGTCTCGCTCAATGAGAGCAGACTTAAAAACAGAGAACAGTGAAAGGCAAAGATAACGTGTTCAGGTTTGCCTCTTTTCTGCCTTGGGTTCGAACTGCTGGAAGGAGATTTTTGAGAAGAGATACCAGGTCAGGCACAGCTGTGTGAGGTTTGCAGGCAGGGAACAAGGTATATTTTGCAGTTGTCAGCAAAAAACTGGCAACTGAAACCACAAGAGAAGTTAAGATCAACGTAGAGCAGAATAAAAAGGGAAGAGAAGAAACTTTTATTATAAATCCCAAAGCTATTTATTACTCACGCACAGTCATAGATGTGATATTTGTCCCCAGGTGAGACCTACTAAGCTTATAAATATGTTTTAATTAAAATCAGTTCCCTGAATGCTCAGCCTCTCCTATCATCCTTCTATGAACAACAAAATTCCATGTTTCATAGATGTCCTTAGACAACACGCACATTTAACATATTTTCAAGTGCAGACACCTGGGCTCTGCAGCCACACTCAGCTACGAGCCATGAGATGAAGTAACCAAGCCATAGTAAAAACAGGGGCCTTTCCTTTATTTAAAACTTAAGAGAACAGAAGCTGTAACAGCAGCTTCATCCTTGTTCTGTAGCAACCCTCGGGAAAAACTGAAGAGGAAGGCGAGCTGGTCATGAAAAAAAGCAGGTTATGCATCCAGCTCATGAGAAGCCAGAAAAATGTACTACTTTATTTTTAAAAATGAGTATTTTTAAATCAATATATTTAAACCAGCGCATCTTTCTTTGAACCAGCTGGTGGGAGACACCAGTGGTGACAAGATACAGAATTAACTGAAACTTGAGCCTGATTCACTCTGGCACTTGTCCTGCTCCATTGCAACTTTTAAATCAAGTCAAGAAGCTTGTGTAACAGGAAGTTTGTATCCACTTACCCTTATCTCCTTTCTCCACTGGTGTGACTTTAGAACACTTAGCCTCTAATTTATAGGGCAATATCAATAAACAAACAAATAAAATAGCTGCCCCCTAAGGAGAAAGGAAAGACAGGGGTCAAAATCTCTTCTGCTTTTCAGACAATAGACGGACTGTCTGGTAAATTCGAGTTTGGTCCAAAGAGAAACAAGCAAAATATTACTTGTGTTTCTGTGCTGTTGGTTTGATAGTAGAAACATTTTTAACATCAATACAACATAACTGCTTTTACCAATTGATTTGGGAAGACGGACCAGGAGTAGGATTCATACTTACTGCTTAGTGTCACTGTATGCACAAAACCCCCCAGAGATCCCAGCAAATTTACTATTTCTAACTGACTCTCCAAATGACTTTCTCCTTGATGTCATCATGTGGGAGACAAACATTGGTGAAGGAGGAAGCAACCAAAAAAACCCGCCAAAACAATGATGAAGAGAGGAGATCGAGGGAATATTTTTCCTTTGCTACACATGTTTCTGGGAACATATCAACTTGGAGCCTCAAAACAGGGAAACATATTGAGGACAGAATAGCAAAGCTGGCATGAAGCTGGGAAGTGGAAAGGCGACATAACTCACACCCCAATTTTCCCTTCTGTAGAGATCTGTATCAGAAATCTGCATTAATAGGAAGTTATGGAAAACACAGGTATAAATCAGCCAAAGTACTTTGTACCACTGCCTGGATGAAATGCTAATGCACAGCACTGGGTTCTGGAATTTGCACCCAAGTTGGAACATTAATACCGGGACTATTAATTTATCTGAACGCGCTGCCAAGCTAATTACGATGTTTAATTTCTAGCGTTAGCTATTTTACCAGTAGCTGTCAGTGAACTCTTCTACCACGGATGCATCAGGCCATGCAATGCCACAAGCCCAAAGGTTGCAGCTCCCCGGTAGAAGCCAGCCGTACTCGCAGTTTACACCCGGGAGCCGAACCGCGAGCCGCCCCTAAACACAGCGCGGAGGGGGCAGTACCCGGGCCCTCGTTTTAGCAAGCAGCGGCATCGCAAAAGGGCTCGTAAAATCCCCTTCAGATTGCGACGAAACTCCGTCCCGCCGCGAGTAAAGGCATTTCTCTTTCCGAGCGAGGGTGCAGCTGCGGGGCAGGGGCTGCCGGTGGCCCAGCGCCCGGGCTCCTGGAGGGGGGGGGGGGGGGGGGGGGGGGGGGGGGGCAGGGTCTTTTTTAAAGTCGAACAAGTGGTGAAAAAGTCCTAATTAACGAAAGACCCACGAAAGCCATAATGCCCGTTTACCGTACGGCCGGTCACCGCTTTAATCTCGCGGCTACAAACCCGGCGGGGATTAACCAGGTCAGCTACGTACAGCCCCCCCCACCCCCCCACGCCAGCAGCTCAGGCTGCGCTCCCGCGGAGCAACAAGGCGGGGATCCCCCCCCCCCCCCCCAAACACCCCACCGCTCGCCCCCAGCGCAGGCTGCCCCCCCCCCCCCCCCCTCCCCGGGACTCACCCAGCGTCTCCGCCCGCAGCCAGAGCGGGGCCGAGGCTCCGAGCAGCAGCAAGAGCAGCAGCGAGGGGGCAGCCGGCGCCCCCCCGGCGGGGCCCATGGCTCCGGCTCTCGGCGGGGCGGGCGAAGCACAACTTCCCCACTTCCCTCCTGCTCCTTTCTCTTCCTCTCCTCCTCCTCCTCTTCCTCGCCGGGGCGGCTCCGGGGCCGGCCCGCGCTCCCGAGGAGGGGGGCGGCCGCCCCCCGGCATCCTCCTCCTCCTCCTCCTCCTCCTCCTGCCCCCCCCCCCCCCCCCCCCCCCCCGCAGGTGTTTGGGCGGAGAAGGGGCCGTACGGGGCTGCCGGTGGCCCCGCCGGTGGCCGGGGCTGCAGCGCTGCTGCCGCCTCCCGCCTCCCCAGCCCGGGGCTGGGGGTGGAGAAAGGAAGCGGGAGAAAGGGAAGCGCCACTATTCCCATTGGGCTGCAGCGCGGGGCACCTCCTCCTCCTCCTCTTCCTCCCCCTCCTCCTCCTCCTCCTCCTCCTCCTGCCGCGGACCGAGGGGCCGGCTCGGTTCCCCCTCATCCCCCTTCCCCTCCGCTCCCGGGTGCTGCTTCTTCCACCCACCGCTGCTCCTGGGCCGGGGGGGGAAGAAGCTCCCCGAGGTTGTGGGGGGAAGAAGCTCCCCGAGGTTGTGGGGGGAAGAAGTTCCCCGAGGTTGTGGGGGGAAGAAGCTCCCCGAGGTTGTGGGGCTTCCCCAAACCGGCGCAGTCCCGAGCATCGCCTGCGACCCCCCGAAGTTGGCAGGCCATATATCTGGACATATCTCTCTATATACGCACCCATGTAAATACATATGTATATATATATATTGAAGCGAATAGGGTTATTTTGCCGTTTGCAGGCTAATTCCCAGGCGGCGCTCCCGCTGCCACAGCGGGAAGGGGGGTCGTGGGGTGCGCGGGGATGGACACGAGTGGGGCCGGCGGGCACGCAGCCGTACGGGGGCAAACGGGAGGGTCCGGCCCCTGCAGCGGGAGCTGGGGTGGTGGTGCCGGGGCTCCCCGCTCCCGTAACCTGCCCCGGGGCTGGTATCCCCACGCAGGGGTGCGGAAGGCGCGTTTAACCGTGGGCGAGCTTTTGTGCCGTAAAGCTCGGGGCTGAGTTTTGTTTTTTTTTTTTTTTTTTTTTTGTTTTTTTTTTGTTTTTTTTTTAAAAAAAAAAAAAAGGCTGCCGGGCTCTGGAGAAAACCTGGGGCATAAGTGGGGGTCGCAGGTGCGTAGTGGGGAAAAGGCTGCGGTGTCAGCAGCAGCCGCGGGAGACTCGCACATTAAACAGGCGCCGGCGGTTGGCCTTTGAAAAGTGTGCTGGAGAATTCAAAGTAGCCTGTCTGACTCTTCTGCAGCCTCGTCGGGGCCGGGCTGCTGCGAGGTGGGTGGATTCGTGCTGCTGGCAGGTCAGAAACACTGCGCTGCTGTGCTAAACTGAAGTATGTCATTAACTTGCATGTCCTTGAGACGACTGATAATTGTTAGATTTTTTATAGCGCTTTAGAACAAGTCAAGTTTAGTAAACCTTTATTCTATTTGAGCTCTTGTTTTGTAAGTGTTAATGTCTGGTTTTTAACTTTTCAGACACCATATGCGATCAGGCGTATTTTTTACCATGTAACCGGTACATTGCATTCTTGGTATATGTATTTAACACAGGGTTTTAGTATTTGAGACTTACCCCTTCTTTGCAAAGGAGAGTTTGGAATCTAGACTAAAAAGTTGGACATGGTGTGAGGCAGAGCGTTCCTTACTGCGGCAGTTTAACAGACTAATCCTCGCTGGACCTTGTCAGCAAATGCCAACATCCTTCTGGCTGAAGGAGGTTGTGGTGGGTCTCTCCCTTCAAGACTCTGAAGGCCGAGAGACTTTTAAAGAGTCCATGTGAATAAAAGTGGCCTGTTCCTGTATTTGTCTCCCAGATTGTCAGGAACAAATGTGTACAAATGAGGATGATTTGTACACGGCTGGGTTTAAAAAGAACCCAGAATTGGTGAAAATATCGTGATCATAGAAAATAGCTTCTTCACTACCAAAAGCTGGTTAAAAACCTACAAATGAGACCCAACATAAATGAAAACACGGAGGAAAGAAATAAATCGGACAATATAGATGTTGCAAAACATGTATTACCTTTGAAAGAGCTGCAGTTATTGAAAATCAACATAACAACGTAAGAGCATGCATTGCTTTGTATTAGTCTCAGTGGGCAATCAAAACCAGTCAGTCATACACAGGTTGCTACTGGGAATTGTACTGATTTGCATTCCATCAACTGAGATCTAGAATATATTCTTTAATAACAGTGCCAGGTTTTCATTGTATTTGTAAAGGGTCATCATAAATGTCGGCATAAAAGTCCTGCAAGTCAATCCCAAGTAACCTTACGGAGGCAGTGCTGCAATAACCTGGGTCTGGTGATCCCGGGCAATTTAATATGCAAAAACCTCTGCCATGGTGCTTGTGCTGAGCCCTCAGCAGAACCCGGGTGGTTGGCAATTGGTACGGGCAAGTTAGCAGTCTTGGAAGCTCCAAATGGTTCTTGCCTGTCACAACCCTTGTTGGAGGTTTGGCTATACCCTCTGGGACAGATAGCTAGAGAATAATTCCCTTCACAGTTATTTTTATTCCAATGATTTGGAATAAACTGATAACTCACGCCCTTGGAGCTGAGGCTGTAAAATATGTGGGAGTGGTATTTGTTTTCCTTTTACAATTGGTGAAGGAGTTTATTGTTCAGGAGAGCACTGGTGGAAGGGCAGGCAGGCTGCCTCTTCAATCTTCTCACCACCCTGGGTTCAGCAGGAGCTGGTTGTGTGTCCAAGGCCACATGTTTCTCCTTGCAAACATGTATAATGCTCAGGTGGAAGCTCTGCACCTCTTTCAGAAGGTGTTGGAAACACGGCTTTCCTATTGACTTCAGTAGGATAATGAATAACACGATCAGTGCAGTATCTTCTGTATTATTTATTTTGCTATTAATTTCACATTACTTTATCATGCCCTCTCCCTGTCAGTTTTCAATATGCTGTAGGCCAGGAACTTACTGTCAGCTTCCAAGATTAAATAATCATTAAGATGAATGAAGTAGTCTATGGCTCTCAAAGCTGTTATTCAAGGACTTGTGTAACCCGTCACATTGGTACATTAGTTCGTGGGTACTTTTCCAAATTTCCCTTTGTAAGGAGGAGAACTAAAACCAGCTTTTAAGTGAATACAGTTTTAAAGGGAACGGCTTTGACTCAAGGCAAAAGATTAATTCAGAAAGAAGGCATACATCGAGCCTGACTAATAACTTTGTGGGGGTGTCACTCTTGTGGGGATGTCACACAGTGGGAGCTTCACAACCTGAAAACTCCCTGGCAGACCACTTCTGACAGCTCAGTGCAGCTGACTTTGGTCACTGACTTAATTTGGAAGAGACAGGATTCACCCAATGATGTAGACGAGCTACTTTTTACCATGAGCATGTGCTCTTCCCTTACAGTTAGCTTTCTAAGCATACAAGTTAGGAATATTTTGTGTGTTTCATGCAAATGGTATTAGCTGAATCATTTACAACTAGATAATGTATCTCATCTAGTATTCATTATATGGATACCTTTACTGTGCAGCCACCTGCAAATGAGAAATTATGTTATAACTCCACAGATGTCTGGCCTCAGGATGAACAACAAAACAGGACAAAAACAGCTCAAAACACTTTAGAAGGTGGTTGGTCAATATGTTGGGGACATACACAGGTTTCATTTATAGAGTTGTACAGTATATAGTTTCATGGATTTACCTTCTTACCTATACTTGTATACTGTTACATACTTGTATATAACTCACACTGAAAGAGCTGCTTCTAAGCAGATGTAAAGCATCTAATGAGTCCTTGTGTATCTTGTGTGATGTTAAGCTGGTAGTTTGTCTGGGGCAAGGGTCAGAGGAGGAAGGAAAGACACACTGAAGAGTTTACCTAAGCTTGACTTGCAACAGGCTTTACACTGTATACATACTTTCTTTCAAAAGCATCTTGTTTCATACACGTTCTAGGAAAAACAAAAAACAAAAAACCAAACAAACCCAAAAGATGTCAAAAATCTGATTTGTACAAAGAGGTTTAAGTTTCATCATATTGGAGCAGCCTTGTTTTGGGTGGCTAACAGGGAAGTTCATGTTTGTCATAAGTTGTAAGCACTTTCTTTGCTAACTGTGTGGAAGAAGAGGGAGGAATGGGAAGGCATTGTGAGGTGGAAAGGACCTGAAGTCAGAAATTAAAAAGCACAAGAACAATTCTAGGGATTTGAGAGGTGTGTTAATCTCATCATTTAGCAGAAGGATAGCTTGCAGGTCGAGAGGCCTGTTAACGGTCTTCATACCTGGGCCAGGTTTTGCATTTTCATTGGAGCAAAGCAAATAGTATAATGGTTTTGCAGGGTAAAGCTGAGAACAAAATGCTCTGGTTGTTGATCTCTGTGTTCTGCCAGGAGTGTATGTGGTGGTTGTATAAAAAAAGTCAGAAAATAAAACGCATAAAGTAAAAGCCTGAGATGTGTCTAGGTTCAGCATTTGTATATGATATGTGAGGAGCCCTCCTTGGTAAAAATGGTTAGGTTACAGCAAAATCAGTGCTGCTGCAAGGCTATGGCATGGCTTAGAAAGTCTAGAAAGTTCCTTGAGGCACACCTGAATTATTCTGTATATGTAGAGTATTTAATGGACACAGTATACTGTGTTGTTTTTATCGTTGGAAGGCTAAGGCCGTGCCCATGGAGCAGCAAAGACATTTCAGCCTCTGTAAGACCACCCTCTATTAAGGTCTGTACACCATTAAATCAGCTGGAGATGGACTGACCTCCAGGACTCCTCTGGGCTTCTGGATATTCACCCAACTACTGCTGCAAAAAAATGTCTTCTCCATTTGTAACAGACTGCGGGGCTGAGCTCTCCTTGTCAGAGCCAGCCTCGGTTCGGGTGAGGCTCACCTTAGCAACCTGCATCCTTGCTGCCCGTAAGCATCCCTCTCCGGGTGTGAATATGGACAGGAGCGAAGGAGTCAGTAAAATCACATTTTCACTTTTCATGTAGTTCCGAACAGGTAGCTAAGAGGATATCATGACTGAGCGCTTCATTACTTTAATGGAAACACGAGACAAAAATCACACAGAAATAACTTCAGATGGAAGAAGCAGTTTAACCTGCCCACACCCATACGGATGAGCTGGAGCCGTAATACTGGCATT